CAGGCGCCTCCAAAACTAAGCCTGGGGTGGGGAAGCAGAAGAGATCAAGTACGATTTAGACACTGCTTCACAGGAGATAGGAAGAAGGCTGGATCCTTAGCTTACAGAGCTGTGGGCTGCCCTTGGTTTAAAGCAGGACTTGGCAAACTTTGCTTGTAAAGGGCCAGAGAGTAGAGATTTCAGGCTTTGCAGTCTATGTGGTCTCAGCAGCAACGAACGACTCACCTCCGCCACTGCGGCATGAATGCAGCCTTCAACAACAACTACGCATGTTAATGTGGCTGTATTCAGTTACATCTCATTTACAAAAGTAGGCAGGACACAGTTAGTTCAAAAGTTATAATTCGATGAATTCCAGTTAGAGCATTTATTCCTGGCACACAGAAGCACTCAATAAACATCTAGCATATCAATGACTCACTGAATACACATGAGCAACAGAATTGTTATGCTATCCTTAAACTTTTGTCGTCTAAAAAAATTATTGATTGAAAAATTATTTTTTTACAAATCCTCTTGTCAAGGGCCAACTTTCTAAGGAGTGCAGCAAGGGTGCTGCTGGGCTACAAAAGAAAGCCTACCCCAGAAGTAAAACAGCCTATAGCTGTTTAGCACCAAGTGTCCCAAAGGCTGCAAACCGTTAATGCACTCAGCTACTAACCAAAAGGCTGGTGATTCAAGTCCACCCAGAAATGCTTAAGAAGAAAGGACCTGGTGAGCTTCTTGCAAAACAAAACAAAAAAAGAATCAGCCATTGAGAGCCTTAGGTGGTGGCAGTTTTATGATGACACATATGAGATTAGAATGACCTCAATGACAACTCGTAAATCAGCAGACCACCTAGGCATCACACCAAGCGCCGAGAGTCAGTCACCCTCTATTTTTTCTGGTTCCTCGCTCCCACCACTGTATCCAGCCAGTCTTCAGATGCCCTACGTAAACTAGAGATCAGAGCAGTGTGGAACTTGTGCACATTTATTTGGATTTGGCTCGTTCACGTGTTAAGTACACTGCTACAAACTGCACTTCCCAGACTCCCTTGAGCTAGGTTCCAGCTATGACCCGGTTGTCAGTCAGATACCCTCCTGGGAGTTCCCAGTGAACAAGGTGGGATGAGAAACACAGTGGGAGACATGGTCTAAAACTAGCAGCTTTCTCAGTGGTACCCCTAAGTCAATAGGTTGCTTCCTGATCGTGGCAGGAGCTCCGATAGTGGCCCAGCTCAGTGATGTGGAAATCACTCTGGGAATTCCGGGAATTCAACCTGGTCAGACTTAATAACAACTCTGTGAACCATTAATATCTGGTAGTAAGTTTCTTCCTGGTCAAGCTAAAAGCATAGTTTGATTTTTCAGATGAAAGTTGAAGAATAAGCTGTTCTTCTAACATTAAGTAATGATTAGGTGGTGAAGTCCACACTTAAACCCACAATCTGACTTCATAGCTCCACTCGCCTAAACATCAGGCCACACGCCAGTTCTGTGAGGGGCTCCTTCTCCCTCAGGTCTCCTGGCTCTTCACGTTTGTTGCAGTAGGAATTCTCGTCCACACCTGCACTAGCACCCTGATGTAATCATCATTCCACACTAACTAGCCAAGGCTTTCCTCATCTGCCCTGGCGGGTCAGGAATTTTCATCTATACTTCTCTCCACCATGCTACTGTTAGGATGTTGCTAGGTGCTGTTGCACGGGCTCCAATGCATCATGGCCCTAGGTGAAATAGGACAAATCGTTGTGATGTCTGAGACCATTGCTGTAGCCACTGTGTCTATCCACCTCATGGAAGGTCTCCTCTTTTTCGATGACCCTCGACTTTACCCTTTTCCAGGAACTATCCCTGCTGATGACAAGTCCAAAGTATGTGAGATACATTCTCACCATTCTTGCTCCTGTGGAACATTTCTTCCAACACAGATCTGTTCATGGTACCTTTAATATTCTTTGCCAACACCTTAATTCGAAGACATCGATTCTTCTTCAGTCTTCCTGACTTGTTATCCAGTTTTTGCATGCACGAGCTGACTGAAAGTATCACAGCCTGGGTCAGACACAGTGCAATCCAGAAGGTAGTATCTTTTTAACACTTTACATAGGTCTTGCCCAATGTAATTATGTTGTTTGATGTCCTTAGCGCCGCTTCAATGGGTGCTGGTTGTGGATCCACCTAACATGAAATGTTTGACAATTTCAATCTTTTCTCTGTATTATCATGATGTTGTGGTGGTTGTGTTTTCTTTATGCTGAGGTGTAATTCCTACTGAAAGCTGTAGATTGTGATTGTCATCACTATGTGCTTTAAGTCCTCTTTGCTTTCACTAAGTAAGGTGTGTCACCAGTATACTGCAGGCTCTTAATGCACCTTCTCATGTCCTTATGCCGTTTCTTCTTCGTACAATGCAGCTGCTCAGATTATTTGCTTGGCAAATACAGTGAATACATACGGTGAAAGGACACAACCTTGACATACATTTCCTGATTTTAACAACACAGTATCTCCGTGTTCTGTTCAAACAACTGCCTCTTGAGCTACGTAAAAGTTTTCTCCACTGTAGCATAGTCACCAAATCAATGACTTGAGTAGTTGGGTCCTCTAAAAGATGGCAGGTACCTTGAGAACAAAAGCCACGGCATGTTTCTCTTTTTCTCAGCCATCTGGCCTAGCATATAAAACGCTATTAATGTTGCTAAGTGTATGAACGAATGAAATCACATGAAACAATGCAGTATGGTATGGAAACACAGCCTGGTGGAAGACAGCTCAGTTGGACTGCTTCATTAACATGTTGAAATGCAATGACAGACAGGAAAACATGCGTAAACTGCACATAGAGCACTATTAGTCACCCATCATATTTCTTTGTCTATGTCTATTCCCCTACATGGGCTCTCTAAGGGCAGAATCCTCTCTGATTATATCTAAGTCCACGGAATGGAATCACCCATTAAACTACAAAAAAACAAACTCACTGCAGTCTGTCCAGTCACTTCTGACTCATAACAATGTTCTAGGACAAGGTAGAACCGCCCCTGTGGGTTTCTAAGGCTATAAATCTTTACAAGAGTAGGAAACCTCATCTTTCTCCTGTGGACTGGCTCGTGGTTTTGAACTGCTAACCTTACGGTAAAGAGCCCAATGTGTAACCCACTATTCTAACAGTGTTCCTCGGAATCACCCATTAAGAATTACTAATTGAATATGTCTTATACGAGTATCCTTCAGGGCTGAATAAAAACAGATCTTAACCAATCTACACATAACAGCATATTTTCAAAAGTACAAACAATATTGCTTTTGCTAAAGGCAACTGGGTTCCAATTCTCTCCATATCATTCTGGTCTTAATGATGTTAAGGCAGAAAAAAAAATAATAATGTTAAGGCCTGGAAAGTCTGCTGGCTGTCCCCTAATATTCTTTCTCCCCTTCATCTTCAGTAATAATTGACAAATGTTACCGGGGAGCCTGGTCACTCAAGAAAGACTACAGGCAAGCCTCCAACATATGCAGGCTCAGTTCCAGAGCACTAGCAGAATAAAGTGCAGCACATGACTTTTTAGGTTTCCCAGCATATATGTGTGCAATGGTAGTATGAAAATGTTTGAGATATGACAAAATAATAATTTATAAATTATCAAGGGCTCATGAGGGAGGGGTAGCGAGGAGGGAGGGGGAAAATGAGGACCTAATGCTGGGGGCTTAAGTGGAGAGGAAATGTCTTGAGAATGATGAGGGCAATGAATGTACAAATGCGCTTTACACAATTGATGTATGTATGCATTGTGATAAGAGTTGTATGAGCCCCTAATAAAATGATTAAAAAAAAGAAAAAAGAAAATGTCTGAAATCTTGTAAGAACTGTCCAAATGTGACTCAGAGGCAAGAAGTAAGCACTTGCTGTTGGAAAAAATGGCACCAATACATTTGTGCTTGATGTAAGATGGCCACAAACCTTCCACACGTAAAAACCGTAAAAACCGCAGTACCTGTGGAGCACAATAAAACGAGGTATGACTGTATATTTCCTAGCTGCTTGCTGCTATAAATGGCCTGATGACTGATATTCTAGTAAATGGGACACAGGTAAAAAGTGGAATGTGTGACTTTCAGGAAGTGACTTTAAACAGGATAGAGTGGTAATGATGCCCTTCTCTCGGTCAGTCCTTCGTCCTATAGGAGAGGAGGTCAGAGTTTGACTTGTTACACAGAGATTGAATGATGGACAGGTGGAGAAACAAGAATGAATGAACATAGCCCCTGATGATCATCTGCGGTCTGGGGGATCTCTAAGAGAGAACCCAACTTCTATTGTTTCAGCCACCGCTGCTTTGTCACCTACTCTAGCCAATAAACAAAGAGAAATGAAACTATTTTGTACTACTCACCAATCCAGTCACGAAAACAAACAGCTTTTCTTTTAAATATGTTCAAACAATTATCTAATCCAAATACGCATAGATCATAAAAGCTTATGTTTCAGTTATCTAGTGTTGCTAGAACAGAAATACCACAAGTAGCTTGTGTAACAAACAGAAACCTATTTTCTCACAGTTTCGGTAGGAAGAAGTCTGAATTCAGAGCGCCAGCCCTAAGGGAAGGATTTCTTTGTCGGCTCAGAGAAGGCCCCTGTCTCTTCAGTTTCTGCAGCCTAGATCCTTGGGGATGTCCAGGTGTCTTGGAATCTTTCTCTCCCCCACCGCCACATCCCTCTGTTGCTTGCTTGTTTAATCTCTTTTACATTTCAAAAAACAGTGAATCAAGAGACATCCTAATTCTGCTTCATTAACGTAAAAAAGACAACCTCTTCCTAAATGGGATCATAACCACAGGTTAGAATTTGCAACACATCTTTTCGGGAGACAGAATTCGTTCGCTAATACCATGTGTTAAGTGTTCGCCAAAACAGTTAGAAAAATAAGCCTGATAACCACCACTACAAAGCAAAACCCTAAGCTGGTGTAAGAGCAGAGTTCCTGAGTCAAAGGAAAGGAGTGATGACCTCACCTGATGGTGAGCTCTAGGAGCTCTTGGGTCCCCTGAGGATCCAGGTGCTGAAGGCCACACACCCTCTCCAGGCTCTGCTGCAGGAACTGCTGGGACGGGTCCTCATGCAGCATGATGCTGGGGACTGATGACACTAGTTTTCTACCTGGTAACTAAGTAAATATTGTGGGGTTAGGGTTCCATCAAAACTCCTTGGCTCATCTTTTGAAACCACCAAGACACCTGAAAAATACTTAAGCCAAACAAAGGATAGGACAAAAAAAGCTGGTCACTTTAGTAAACAGTCTTTCTCCTCTTCCCCAGCTGCAGTGGGAAACAGAGAAAGCGCTCTACTCAACACAGGCACAAGTGGTCAGGAGAAGAAACTTATGCAGTATTTGCTACTGTCGGGGGAGGCGGGGGTGAGGAGGAAGGGGAAGGGTAAACCATAGGAGTGGTGCTTAAATTTAATCTCTTGTCATATTTATTTATTTTTTTAAATCATTTTATTGGGGCTCATACAATTCATCACAATACATAGATCAATTGTGTAAAGCACACCTATACATTTGTTGCCCTCATCATTCCCAAAATTCGCTTTCCTCTTGGGTTCCCGGAATCAGCTCATTTTCCTTTTTTCCCCTCTCCCTCCCTCCCCAGTCATATTTATTTTTAAACTCTGATATTTCACTTCATGGAAGAGTAATGATTTATTCCCAAGTAAGTCTATATATCATGCTAAAAACATATTTTGTATTATAGGATTATACATAAATCATTGATTTTACTGTTAAAAACTGTTAGCCTTGAAGAAAGGGATGAGGATAGGGCAAAGAGGATGTGAGTTTTCATTCTGCACCATATATACACACATAAGGAGCCCTGGTGATGTTGCCCAATAAACACTGAGCTGCTAATCACAAGGTAAGCGGTTCAAACCCGCCAGCCACTCCAAAGAAGAAAGGTGAGGCTATCTGTTCCTGTAAGGTTCTGCAGCCTCAGAAAACCTATACAAGGTTGCTATGGGTTGGAGTAGACACTCTTGCAGTGGGTTTACATACATAGGTGTTTACACACACATGAATATATGTAAAAATTCCCAGTAAATCCATCTAACATTACATCAACAGTGATGAGTTAATACAAATGAATTTAGAAGAAAGCTTAGGGCTTAGCATTCAATTAACAATGGCTATTATGAACATTATGATGGGTTTTTAAATATTTTTTCTGTATCTCTAGGTTTTAAAAACAACAAAGATTTTTATCATTTAAAAAATAAATGAATACTTGTTGACATAACTGGTCTAAAACATACTCTTACTGATCCAGATTCCTTTTTCTTCCCTAACACCACAGAATCAACACGGGGACACTGAACAATCACTCAATCTTCTTAAAATGTAAAGGAGACAGAAGCAAAACTACAAAAGAAGAGGGTGAAAGTCCAAGAAAGAAAGAGAATGAACAAAAGAGGATTCAGAAAATATATATTCTCCTCTTTGCTGTTTAACAACCATAAAGCATCCAATGTTAAATAAAAAGCATGGACAAAAATGTGTTCAACCTACCCTTAAAGCAGGAACCAGATGAGATAGGCTGTCTCGGAGGTAAGCATAGTGTCGGAAGGTGTGATCTGAGAACAACGCTGGCATTGTTGGGCAGGTTTTAGCAGCATTGAAAATAAGAACCAAAACGGCAATGTCTGAGTTCATGGGGTTAAGTCAATTTTGAAGTATAAGAGATTGAACTTGACCAGGGCCTGCCACCCCAACTACTCACAAATAAATTCCCATGAAGACACATCGATTTTCTAGTAATCACAGAAACATAAATTCAAGCTGAAGGGGCTTGAAAGAGTTTGAGGAACATTAGATTTAAAAGATAATAATACTAGTTTTCCATGAACCTTCTGAAGCCCTTTGAACATTCTCTACTCCATCCACATCCCCAGTGACCAAAGTTTTGTGTGTTTTTTTAACATAATGGCCAACGCCACTGTAAACATCAAGAGATAGGAATTCTCATACATTGTCTATAAAAGTATCCATTGACACAATCCCACGGAAAGTAATTTGGTATCAACCTAGAAGAAATGAAAAACTAAATATTAATAAAAAGGGTCCTGCTGAGCCAGCAGGCTGGGTCCCATGGACAGAGGATACAAGCTGGATCATCCATGTCTGGTTCAGCTGTGTCAAAAAATGGGTGGGTGCTCAGCAGTTCTGGCACCAGAGGGAGCACCAAGGTGGGATGTCGACTTCCCAGAAACTTCAAGCACCTGAAACAAATTAAATTAGAGCACTCATGTCACAATGAGTTACACAGTTTTAAAACACTCGGAATTAAAATCGGAAAAGCTGGTTTTCATGGCCAATTCATCCACCTTTGCTAACTCTATTAACTTCAGAAAAGTCATCCAATGATTCCAGATTTTGGCTAATTCAGCTAAGAAATGGGTTCTTAGAACATCTAAGTAAAAGAAAAGAGCTGGGCGTGGCATATATTATGGCTTCTGTATCTAACAGTCATTTACTTCCCCATCTTCGATGCCAAGAGAATTTGATTTTATTCAGATACCAGAAAAGCATAAAATGCTCAGTGGAGGTCAGCCCAGTTTGAGGACAATCCTAGTCTCATTTTCCAGTATCTGGGTCTCTTCAGAGCTCATCCAAGGAGCGAGAGGAAAGTCAGCGAGAAGCAGCCCACTGGGTGGGCAGCGAGAGCAAGTGGACAGTGAGAGCAAGTCAAGGGACCTGCAGGGACTCAATGACGCAGAGTCCTGACTGTTGAGGGGCTGAATGACCAATCTCTGACTTCTTACTAGGCGAACAAATAAGCTCTTATTGTTTAACACACTTTGGATACATTTTCTGTTACTTAAAGCCAAAAACATTTGAACTGATGATCTTGAGTAAAGTTATGAAGTGAGAGATACATTATCTAGAATTTAATAACTCTATGACCTTGGGAAGGTATGTTTTTCTAATTTACAAAATGGAATTAAAACCATTACCTCTTAGAATTGTTCTAAAGATTAAATGAGACTATGAATGTAAAGTACTTAGCAAGGTGAATGGCAAAATAAGAATTAGAACAGGTGATTCAAAATCTACTGGACCACTTTAAGGTTAATGAGTTTTTTGTCCATAGTTAACCAATCAAGAGGGCCTTACAGAAATAATCTGAGGGAACCAAATAGTCCACCTATCTTACTTCATGGTTAAAGGAATGTTTTATGAAACACTTCACAACAGCCCCTTCCATCAAGCGAAAGGAGCCAGTCCTTCTGTGTCTCCGCAGCACTGCAGTTACGGATCCTCTACATTCCCACTACAACCCCAGGTCTCCAGTGCTGCTCTGTGCCACCAATCAACACAGTTACACAGAACTGAGCCGAACTGGGCAAAACTCAAAATTAGATACCAAAAATGTTACCGCAAGCAATATACTAGTCCTAGGGTGTTCTTAGTTTTTAATGTATCTCTCACGTCTGATTTGACAAAACCTCTTTGAAAACTATAGAGCGACCCCTTCATATAAGCACATTTACACACACACATTTTAGAGTAAATTAATGCAAACAGTTCTTCAAACAGAGATAAAGGAACAGTGTTACAGTTAGTATAAAGCTAGAAGGTTTTTTTGTTTGCTTGCTTGTTTGTTTGGGGGGGTAGGGACTATAACTCTCCAGCTGTAGAACAAATGCCAGCCCTGCCTCCATCGCTACAATGTCAGCCCACTGTACCAAAAATCAAACAAAAAGAGGACTGGTGAGCACAATATAGAGAATCACAAAATCTAATGGATTCAGTTCTGCATCTTCAACATCTACTACCTACCACAGAGCTTGGTACATAGTAAACACACAGTAAACACCTAATATTTGCTGAATGAATGGAAGAATTAATAATTAAAATGTGATACTTGGTGTAGAACTCAGAGTCCTGGCAGACTATTTGGTTAAACTGAGTCAAGTTTCTAAATTGAGGGCATATCAAGCTATGATGATCCCACCAAAGAATGCCAATATTGTACAATGTTTCCATACTATAAGATTCAGTAGGCAATTAGGCAAAGCAATTGAAGAGGCGTCCTTACTTCCATATAGAGTCCCTATCAGTAGGGTACTTGGCTAAATTTTTCAGCAGCTCCACCAATGCAAGATGAATCCCTTCTTTGGTTGAGACATTAGTACAGCACAAAAGTTCATGAAGAGCCTCTCTAATGTCTCTGGATGAATCCTTAAAAAAACAAAAGTAATCATAGTCATTGTCCATCAGGTAGCCCAGCCTCTATTCCCCACCCTCTTCTCCTAACCATCTTTCTTTCCATCCAGGGTGACTATGGGACACAAAATGCAGAAATCTTCTGGCTAAGATGGCTAAGAAACCTTTTTTTTTTTTTAATTGATTAAAAGGAGCAGCAGATACAGTGATCTTGTTCCTTTGCTTGTCAGTCTTCCTTCTTCTTCCAGCCTGGAATTCAATTGTGAGACAAGGAAGTAAAACAGCCCTTTTGCCGGCAGGAAAGGAATGGGCATATGAAAGAAGGGCAAGGGGTGAGACAGGCCAGAGGAGAAGGAAAGAAAAGACTCCTCAACATCGCGAAGCAGCTGCCTCAGTCCCTGGACTGCCTACACTTGGACTTACCATTTCCGAAAAACCCATCACAGTTTCTGTGAGGTCAGTTAGGCAGTTTGTGACTGCAGCTGAACACACTCCTCAGAGAGAACATTTGTACTGCTCCTCCATTCAAAACACATTTGTTGAGGTCCGTACAGTGGGAGACAGATGTACTAACCAGGACAACACTAAGCACTATGAGGATACGAAGATTGTGTACATCACTGTGGAAGGGTCACAGAAGGACATAAATTCGGGAAAGCCAATGGGAATTCCTTAAGCATATGGGACACAGAATAAGGCATGCTGACAATAAATTGATATATGAAGGCATGAGAACACAAAACCTCCTGAAATTCAGATTCCTGGGTCATGGAATTGTGATGACTCACCCAGGCCACCCACCCTTTCTTTGGTGGCCTTTTGAACTTTAAAGGAACTGGTTTCCTGGAATCACCTTCATGCTATCTTGGTGAACAGCTTAGTGGAGACACTATGCCCAAGGCAATGGGTTCTTTGAGAAAATGACCTCTAAGCAGTCAGCTTTGAGGGCAGAACTCCCAGGTCTGACAGAGGCTGTTTTAGAATGTACAAGTGTCATAGGTGACTACTTCTATAACCTTCCTAGCATATGGATGCTATCTCTTGGAAAATTAACATAACAATGACTTACATAACTTGCTTTGGTTCAGGGAAGAGAGGATTGGGCTTCAAAAAGTTTATGGAAAAATGGACTTTTCCCAAACATTTTAAGCGCCTTGTACATTCTTTTATATTGATTTTTTGGTGTTTCTCTGTGCATTTAGATTTTTGGGATAATGGGAACATACATATAGCAGTCATTGGGGTGGCTGGGGTGTACAAAGTATAACAGGAGCTAAGGCTCCTCCTCTCCAGAAACTCCCTATCTTGAAGGAGAGACAGACTGCATGAAGACAAAGAACAGCACTCAGAGCACTGCTATGCTAGAGAAGTGTACAAGTTGCAACAAGTACAATGCCGAGTCCCTCCATTTGCTGGGAGTGGGGCGAGGGGGTCATTGAGTCGGTTGAGGATGTGTTGGACGTCCTAGCCAGCAGTGAAAACCTAACCGGGAATGAGTGGTCTTCGTGATGCTTAGAAGGCAGCATTCGTGTAAGGTATCTGAAATCAATTCTCTGAGATGGGAACATGCAGATTAAGTGAGCAAGCACAAACAGAGGGGAGAACATGAACCATCGGCGTGTGAAGGGCCCCAGGAAGAGAAGCTGAAAAAAAGACAAAGGCCTTCCCTTCGATCAGACAGAGACCAGCCCTCGTCGGCTGACACCCTGAACTCACGACGTCTAGCCTCTTGAACTACGAAAAAATACATTTCTGTTTGTTAAAGCCACCCACTTTTGGTACTTCTGTTGTAACAGCACTAAGCTAGGAGGTGACTTCTGAGCTGAGGTTTAAAGTTAGTTCATTCATCCATTCAATACTTATTAAACATGATTAGACATCCAAAAACTTCTCATGTTCTTACTATGTGGCAGCTTCTAAAAAGGACATACTGTATAGCAGGCAGTAGATGAATGGCAGTTAATCAAATCAAATCCCTTTCCTCAGAAGCTTCATGCTAATGTGAAGACAAAAATTGATAAACATGCAAGAGAGTTTCAAAAAGCTTATGGTCAATGGTTATCTTTTAATTTTTTTCACAAACTCTTTGAAGCTCTTTGTACATAAGTCAGATAGTGAAGAGTCATTTCTAGAAGAAAGCAGGTTAAGAGAAAGAGTACTGAAATAGGTGGGGTACTTCACATATGATATTCAACGGGAACTCACAGCCACGGAGTGGAGGCCGCTCATGGTGACACGTGTACAACAGAAGGAAACACTGCCCAGACCTGTGTCCTCCTCACCATCGTCACTTTTTGAGGCTAAGCTTGTGGCTACTGCGTCAATCCAGCTCGTAGAGGGCCTTCCTCAAAAGCCTGCTTTTCACTAGGAATCACAAAGCCCCCAGTCTGCTCTGTGAAGCATGCAGCCGAATTCTGCAACAAGTGTGCACTGACTCAGCATCACATCGCTTACCTCGTTCGTTAGAGCTGAACACCAAAACAAAACCCAAGCGCGTTAAAAAACCTCCGTACTAGTAAACAAAACCCAGATGCATTTGAAAAATAACCCAAGAATTATGGGAGACAAATTTGTGTTCATATTGAGGCATAGCGACTTATGAGTTGTGACCTGAGGCAAATTGCTTTTCTCTGTTAAGAACCCCAGACTGAATGATTCAGTCTGCAAGACCCCCTTTTTACTGTAATATTCAGAGTAAGAGTTAAATCAATTCCAAGGATTTATTTATTTGGCCCTGCCTTAATTAGAGTCTCTTTAACTCTGTGCTACCATTCTAACGACTTCCTTTCACTCCCCTGCGTCTGTCATTTTCTTCCTAGGATAACAGGGAGACCAATGCCTCATTAAGTCCTCCTGCTCATTCACATCCACTGCAGCCTTCTTTCTTCTCTGGTCTCCCCTCAGCCAATTCCGGTTAGACAGTCTGTATCTCCACGCACTGTCCTTCACTGTCATAGCAGTGCCATGTTTCAGTCCCATTTCCTTTTTACCAGTCTCCCCCAGCATGGAGGTGGGAGCAGTGGGAAGTCCTAACTGTGACGGTCTTATGTATTGCTATATCCCAGTGGCTAACATAATGCCCAATTTAAAGTGGGGAGAAAAAAAAAGAACAAAGAGGAGTGGGGGGCACTTGGTAGACACGCAGGGAAGAAATGAGTGACAACGTGGGTGCGCTCACCTCCAACACCCCCAGGACTGTGTCAAGCTGGTCCTCTCGGAGAGTAATGTTGTTAGAGATTTTTCTCATGGTGTGTATGGACTGGAGACGCACTTCTTCGATCTCATCATTAAACATGTCAACCAAGAAATCAAGGCACTTCTCAGCGAAAGCCGGGGACGACCGGGCCAGCATGCAGAGGGCCTCCACGGCGGCAATGCGAACCTCTGCGGGGACGGAGACAAATGGCCACAGATGAAGAGCGAGCGCTAGGAAAATAAGTGCTGTCTTCCTTCCCATTCAGGTCGTCCATCTTAGACGCTCGTTCTGCAAACGCTCCGGGGGTGCGGCAGGGAGTCAGGGAGTTCACTACCACCTTCCTACCAGCTAACGACATAGACTTCAGTGTCACAAGGACCAAGATTTATGTCAGGATTCTACAGAAATGTGACCATGTCAGCTGTCTATTCCTGGAAAATGACAACTCTTATTTATATCAGTACTTCAAACAATGTGAATTATTTTTTTAAAGGAAGTCGTGAGGAGGACTTGAAGCACTTGCCAACAAAGATCAAGGACTGCAGCCTTCACTGTGGATTACAACTCAATGTAAAAAAAAACAAAATCAAACAGGGAGGGTAGAGGGAGAGTGGGTAGGAAAGAGGGAACCGATTACAAGGAACTATATGTGACCTCCTCCCTGGGGGACGGACAATAGAAAAGTGGGTGAAGGGAGACGTCGGACAGGACAAGATATGACAAAATAACAATTTATAAACTATCAAGGGCTCGTGAGGGAGGGGGGAGCGGGGAGGGAGGGGGAAAATGAGGACCTAATGCCGGGGGTTTAAGTTGACAGAAAATGTTTTGAGAATGATGAGGGCAATGAATGTACAAATGCGCTTTACACAACTGATGTGTGTGGACTGTGATAAGAGTTGTATGAGCCCCTAATAAAATGATTTTTTTAAATAAATAAAAACAAAACCAAAATCCTCACAACTGGACCAATAGGTAACATCATGATAAATGAGGAAAGGTTCAAGTTGTCAAAGATTTCATCTTGATTGGATCCACAATCAATGATCATAGAAGCAGCAGTAAAGAGCTCAGATGACACATCGAATCAGGTGAATCTGCTACACAAGACCTGGTTAAAATGTTGAGAAGCAAGGATGTTACTTTGAGGACTATCGTGAGCCTGACCCGAGCCATGGTATTTTCAATCACCTCACATGCATGTAAAGGCTGGAAACTGAATAACGAAGACTGAAGAAGTCTCAATGCACTTGAATTGCGGTGTTCACAAAGAATACTGAAAGCACCGGAGACTGCCAAAAGAACAAACACATCTGTCTTGGAAGAGGCACAGCCAGAATGTTCCTTACAAGTAAGGATGGCGAGATATCGTCTCATATACTTTGAATATGCTATCAGGAGAAACCAATCCCTGAAAAAGGATGTCAGGCTTGGGAAAATAGAAAGATAGCAAAGAAGTTGAAAACCCTCAAGAAAATGGATTGACAAAGTGAAACAATGGGCTCAAACCTAATGTTTGTGGGGACGGCACAGGACCAGGCAGTGTTTCACTGTTGTACTGGGCGTTGCCCCGCGTTTGAACCGACTTGATGGCGCCTAACAAGGTTTTGTTTGTTTGTTTTTTAAGTACACTACTTGAAAGGATATAGGTACCAGAGATTTTTGTGGAAAGCAGTCACTTAAATAACTTGGCAGGTTATCTTGAATAAACTTAACTTCTTGACACCTCAATTTTCCCATCTTTAAATGGAAATAATACCTACTTCCTCATAGAATTATAAGAAAGACGAACTGAGATAGTACAGTAAACCTCAAAGCACAATCACTATTAGCTATTACATAGGTAAGGTGGTTATGTGTTGGGCTGAGATCCACATGGTTGGTTATTCGAAACCACTGGCAGCTCAATGGGATAAACACTGGGCTTTTACTCCTACAGTTAGTCTCAGAAACCCACAAGGAGTCATCATTGACTCGATGTCCCTTAAACACACTTGAGAACATGTCATTGCATGTTCAAAACATGTGACAAGCAGCCTAAAGTTCCCTAATAAACATTTCTTGAACACATACCATATTCCAACTCCTTTGTCAAGTGCTGGGATACAGAAATGTTTAAAATTTAGACCACAGGTTCCCAAATTTAACTGGCCTACCGTCGTCCCCTTTTGGCAATTAAAAATGTTTATACTCCTACCAGGACCCCAATTTTGCCTTGCAAACCTGGTTAGACCAGATGATGCACAGCGGTACAGATGGGAATTGGAAACGCTGGGAATCTAGGACAGAAGAACCTCTCAGGACCAGGGGTGACAGTGGCGATACCAGGAGGGAAAGGGGATGTAGTAAGGGGGAATGGATCACAGGGAGC